GGTCGGGCATGTTCCCCTACAGGCGGATTGTGGACGAAAAATAAAAAATCCGCAACCTAAAACACAGAAGAAATAATCGTCCCCACACGAATTGCTTAAAACAGCTATGTTTGAACACTCCTCCTGCAGAGGGACAGGCCCGACGTAGAGCCAGCTCGAGCTGTGAGGGCCCCGTGGACGGAAGCTGGGCGAACGCCTGGCGTGCAGAAGTCGCAGCGCCCGGGTCTCGGGGTCGACGCCGACGACGCGCGGCGGCGACAACGCCCCAGGGCCTCCGACGCCGTGGATCTCTTTTCGGAGGCAGGCGCGTGGAGACAAAGGGTCGCCCTTTTGACCCTCTGGGTGCCCCCTCGTCGCCACGGCTGGACGCAGCTCGGAAGACAGGTGCGTTTGGGCCCAGGTATACAGGTCGGGGGACCGACTTTGAGCGGATTTGGGCCGCCGTTGCCTCACCGCCGCCGTCTCGTGCGGCTCTCCCCCGACCTTTTCCGCAGCGTGGACCCCGAGGAGGTCTGGTGGAAGCCTTCCCTGGGACCGGCCCCTCGTCCTGGGCCTCAAACCCACAGCCATTTTCACAGCGCACGCCGACGACCCATACACCAACCGACCCGATTTCGTCGGTGCGCGCCCACAGAGATAGGTCCGAGGTCCCGAACTCCTCCTTGGGGGTAAGTTGTGGCCCTGGATCCTTTAAGTTGATGGCCCTGGGGCTCGATGACGGGACCCCGAGGCCCAAACCGAGAGAGAACGCCGGGACTGAACGAAACATCGGTGTCGGTCCCCGGACCCCTCCCAGGGGTCCGTCCTGGCCGGCTGTTTTGAGCTGCGTCCAGCGCCGTGGCACACGAGGGAAGCCCGCGAGGCCCGAACTGCCTGGAACCTCCAACCTCGAACCAGGTGTACCGGCGGCGAGCCGATACATCTGGTCCCCCCGTCCGCCTTGCGTGCGTGCTTGCTACCCCGGCCGCTCTCCCCTCCCCCTCCTCCTGGTCCGCGTCTGTTCGGTGCGTTTCTCCTCGTCCCCCCTCCCCTCCTCCCCTCCCCTCCAGCCGGGCGGGGTATCCAACCCGTGGGCGGCCGAGGTGCGGTCGGCGGGCCGGGGGCTGCCCAAGAGGGCCGCGAGGCTCCCCCGGCGGCTTGCGAGAGGCAGCCGCTCCCGTGGGACCCTCGCGGCGCGACCGGGCATCCCGAGGCCGAGGTGCCTCGGTAGGCCGTCTTGTTTGCAACCCTCCAGGCGGAATTTGCCGAGTGGTCACCAGCTGCACATGCGGATGCGCACTGGTTTGACACATCAGTGGCTTTGCCTGTGTTCGTGGCCAGGCTCGTCGGTGGCGAGCCTGGGCGGGAAGTGAGAAGGGGCGGGCCTTCTCAGAAGGCTCGGAAGTCCCCCGGCCTCCGGAGAAGTTTCCTGAGCCTTCCCCGAGGACAAAGGACAAAGAACCTCAGAAGGCGCGAGGGCTTCTGAGAAGTCCCGCCGCCTTCTGAGAAGGCCTTCTCCTTCTCCTTTTCATTCACCCCTGGGCGCGCCGCCGAGGTTGGTTTTTGGATCAGGACGCGGGTCTCCGGCGGCCGTTCGGGACGATCCGAGCACCCCCGGGACGCCCTCGGCGAGGGGCAGCTGCTGGCAAGCATCCCGAGGCTGGAAAAGCGCCAAGGACCGACGAAAGCGTCCGAAAACCTCGAACCTCGGAGCTCGCACCCCGAAGGTCGCAGCCGAGTGTGGCCGACGCCTCGCTCCTCTCGTCGGAACTCTGGGCACGCGCGGCGGCGACGACTCCGACGGCGCCGAGGGTGCGGCGACGCCCGCGGCGCCGGCCGGGGCGGCCGGCTGGCGCCTGCCCGTGCCCGGCGCCGTGCACCCGCCCGTGCGCCACGTACCGCGGCACGCGGCCTCCGAGGGCGGCGGCCGACGACGGCGGCCGGCGGCGACCAACGGCGCTGACCGCCGGCGATGGCAACGACGGCGGTGGGCGTGCCGACGACGGTGGCGGCCGACGACGACGACGACGACCGATGACGACGGCGGGGGTGACTGCGGCGGCGGCGACGACGAGACGAGGCAGGCGACGACGACGTTGCCGACGACGGCGACGGCGACGACGACGACGACGACGACGACGACGACGACGACGACGACGATCGGCGACGAGGCAGGCGACGACTACGACGACGGCGGAGGCGGCGGCGCCCGAATCGATAGACGCGCAACAGGTCATGCCAGGGGAGAGCGCCAGGGCATGCCACAGGAAATGCGCCAGGCGGCGTCCGAGGGGACGTTTCAGGGGACGTGCCATGGTCGTGTCAGGGACGCGCCACAGGATGTGCCGAGGTGCGTGCCAGAAGATGCGTTAGGGGACGAGCCAGAGAACATGCTAGGAGTCGCTCCACAGGACGTGCCAGTCGACGTAGAAGGGAAGCGCCAAGGGACGCGCTAATGGACACGCCACGGAACGCGTACGGGAAGCGCCAGACGACGAGCCTGGACACGCACAAGGGCACGCAACGGTGGACGCGCCAGGGAACGTGGCATTGGACGCGCCAGGGGACGTGCCCTGGGATGCGCCAGGGCGTGCGCAGAGGAAGGTGCTAATGGACGTGCCCTGGGATGCGCCACGAAACGACGCCGCCGACGACGACGACGACGACGACAACGCCGCCGCCGACGACGACGACGACGACGACGACGACGACGACGACGACGACGAGCGGCGGCGGGCAGGGCGGCGGCCTGCAGAGGGCGCGTCGCCGGCGCCGCCCGCGGGCGCCAGCGCCTCGCCCAGCTGCTGCAGCACCTCGGCCTCGAGGAGGCAGGCCTCCAGCCCGTCCTGGGGGGCGACGAGGACGGGGGCGAGAAGGACGAGGAGGAGGAAGACGAGAGGACGAGGACGAGGAGGACGACGATGAAGACGACGAGCAGAACGAGGACGAGGAGGACGAGGAGGACGAGGAGGAGGACGACGAGCAGGAGGAACAGGAGGAAGAAGAGGACGACGAGGCGGACGAGGAGGAGGCATCCAGCCGTGGCGGCGACGAGGCACGTCTGCAGTCTGTCCTCTGCTGGCGGCGTCCTAGTCGAAGGCGATGAAAGCGAGGACTCAGACAGGAAAATGTACCCATACCGCCACCCTTTTTTCGTTTCCCAATTTTGGTCGCCCCTAAATCGCGCGGCGATTTCGAGGGCAGTGAAATTTGAGGAGTCCAGTTCTTCCCCTTCTCGGAGAGTTCGTCCTAATGGTGAAATCAGACACCACGCAAAAACACCACGCAAATACACCACGCAAAAACACTACGTAAAAACACCACGCGAACGCTGAAGGGTGAATTAGACATCACGCAAATACACCACGCAAAAACACCACGCAAAAACACCACGTAGCGGTTTTGCGTGGTGTTTTTGCGTGGTGCGTTTGCGTGGTGTTTTTGTGCGCCGCTGGGGCGGCGCGGGGACGCAGTGGGGCAGGTCGCGGTTCACGTGGTGTGTTTTTGCGTGGTGTTTTTGCGCGGTGTATTTGCGTAGTGTATTAGTGCGCCGCTGGGGCGGCGCGGGGACGCAGTGGGGCAGGTCGCGGTTCACGCGGCGTGTTTTTTTGTTCTGTGTGGTGCTTTTGCGTGGTGTATTTGCGTGGTGTTTTTGTGCGCCGCTGGGGCGGCGCGGGGGCGCAGTGGGGAAGGTCGCGGTTCACGTGGTGCTTTTGCGTGGTGTTTTTGCGTGGTGTTTTTTTGCACCGCTGTGGCGGCGCCGGAGCGCCGTGGGACAGGTCGCGGTTCACGTGGTGTGTTTTTGCGTGGTGTTTTTGCGTGGTGTATTTGCGTAGTGTATTTGTGCGCCGCTGGGGCGGCGCGGGGACGCAGTGGGGCATGTCGCGGTTCACGCGGCGTGTTTTTCTGCGTGGTGTTTTTGCGTGGTGTTTTTGCGTGGTGTATTTGCGTGGTGTTTTTGTGCACCGCTGTGGCGGCGCGGTGTTATCGTCCTCCTCCTCCTCCTCCTCACCTTTCCCCCGTCATCCCGCGCATATTCCCCCTCCTCCCAACCCTCCTCATTATCCTCTTCGCCCTGCTGATCCGCGTGGTCTCTTCCACAAGCCCTGAGGCCTCTTCCCAAGGCCAAGAGGCCCCGTGCAGAAACGAGGAAGCCAGCACTAGAGGCCCCAAGCCCTCTTTTAGCTTCCCGAAGGCCTCGCCCAGAAGCCAAAGTGCTTCCCCTGAGGGCAAGAGGGCTCCCCCAAAAGCCCAAAAGCACCCGAAGCCCTGAAGCTAGTTCAACCACTGAAGCCGCGTGGGCGGGCGAGAGGAGTGATGCCGTGTGGTGTGTGGTGTGGTGTGATGTGGTGTCGTGGTGTGGTGGTGTGGTGGTGTGGTGGTGTCGTGGTGTGGTGTGGTGTGGTGTCGTGGTGTGTGTGTGTGTGTGTGTGTGTGTGTCTGGTGTGGTGTGTGTGGTGTGGCGTTTGTGTGTGGTGGTGTTGTGGTGGTGTCGTGGTGTGGTGTGGCGGTGTCGTGGTGTAGTGTCGTGTGGTGTCGTGGTGTCGTGGTGTGGTGTGTGTGTGTGTTACGTTGTGTTTCACGTGGTGTTTTACGTGGTGTTTTTTTGTTGTGCGCCGCTGGAGCGGCGCGGGGGCGCAGCTGGAGCGCCGCTGCAGCGCCCCAGGAGCGCCGTGGGGCAGGTCGCGGTTTACGTGGTTTTTGTGTTGGCGCGTAGTGTTTTTGTGCGCCGCTGGAGCGGCGCGGGGGCGCCGTGTGCGTGCGCCGCTGGCGCGGCGCGGGAGCGCCGTGGGGCGGGTCGCGGTTTACGTGGTGTTTTTGCGTGGTGTTTGCGTGCGTCGCTGGAGCGGCGTAGGGGCGCCGTGGGGCAGGTCGCGGTTTACGTGGTGTTTTTGCGCTGTGTTTGCGTGCGCCGCTAGGTCTCGGTTTACGTTGTGTGTGTTTTGCGTGGTGTTTGCGTGCGCAGCTGGAGCGGCGCGGGGGCGCAGTGGGGCAGGTCTCGGTTTACGTTGTGTTTTTGTGTTGTGTTTGCGTGCGCCGCTGGAGCGGCGCGGGAGCGCCGTGGGGCAGGTCGCGGTTTACGTGGTGTCTTTGCGTGGTGTTTGCGTGCGCCGCTGGAGCGGCGCCGGAGCGCCGTGGGGCAGGTCGCGGTTTACGCGGTGTTTTTGCGTGGTGTTTTTGCGTGGTGTTTGCGTGCGCCGCTGGAGCGGCGCCGGAGCGCCGTGGGGCGGGTCGCTGTTTACGTGGTGTTTTTGCGTGGTGTTTGCGTGCGCCACTGGAGAGGCGCAGGGGCGCAGTGGGGCAGGTCGCGGTTTACGTTGTGTTTTTGCGTTGTGTTTTTGCGTTGTTTGCGTGCGCCACTGGAGCGGCGCAGGGGCGCCGTGGGGCAGGTCGCGGTTTACGTGGTGTCTTTGCGTGGTGTTTGCGTGCGCCGCTGGAGCGGCGCCGGAGCGCCGTCGGGCAGGTCGCGGTTTGCGTGGTGTTTTTTTTTGTTTCCGCGTGGTGTTTTTGCGTGGTGTTTGCGTGCGCCACTGGAGCGGCGCAGGGGCGCCGTGGGGCAGGCCGCGGTTTACGTTGTGTTTTTTTTGCGTTGTGTTCGCGTGCGCCGCTGGAGCGGCGCGGGGGCGCAGTGGGGCAGGTCGCGGTTTACGTGGTGTTTTTGCGTGGTGTTTTTGCGTGGTGTTTGCGTGCGCCGCTGGAGCGGCGCAGGGGCGCAGTGGAGCGGGTCGCGGTTTACGTTGTGTTTTTGCGTTGTGTTTTTGCGTGGTGTTTGCGTGCGCCGCTGGAGCGGCGCAGGAGCGCAGCTGGAGCGCCGCTACAGCCCGCTGCAGCGCCGCTGCAGCACCCCAGGAGCGCAGTGGGGCAGGTCGCGGTTTACGTGGTGTTTTTGCGTCCGCTCCAGCGGCGCATGCAAACACCACGCAAAAACACCACGTAAACTGCGACCCACCCCACGGCGCTCCGGCGCCGCTCCAGCGGCGCACGCAAACACCACGCAAAAACACCACGCAAACACCACGCAAAAACACCACGCAAACACCACGCAAAAACACCACGCAAAAACACCACGTTTAAGGTATTTTATTTCACCATTAAGGTATTTCATTTCACCATTAAGGTATTCTATTTCACCATTAAGAAATTCTATTTCACCATTAAGAAATTCTATTTCACCATTAAGATTTCTATTTCACCATTAAAACGCTTATTTCACCATTAGGAGAAACCGTCCCTTCTCGTGGCCTCGTTACATCATAGCTTGACCTTTTCGAGCGTTCCTTGGGGGCATCGGTTTTCAGCTGCGTTGGCGCGTTGGCTCGCCCACCTAGCGCTCCGTACGGAGCACACGGTGCCTCCAACGCGCCTTCGCGCTCCGTGGACGCGGGCGGTTTTCTCATGGGGCTGCCAATCTGGCCTGGTCTGGTCGGGCCTGGTCTGTCCGTGTGCCTGTCCGACGGTCCGTCCGTCTGTCCGTCTGTCTGGGGGGTGCTGGACGGCCAACGGAGGTTCTACGTAATACGGGCGAGTTTGGCCTCGAACCAGCCCAAGATGGCGTCAATATAGCCACATTCGAGGCGCCCCAAGGGAGACTCCAAGATCCTTCCCACAACTCGCTGAATGTCCGTGGGTGTTGTTGAATGAATGTGTTTGGGGTTCTCGCTTTCTCGAATTTCCGACGTCCCATGGCGATCCAAGAGGCCTCCTAAACCGCCGCACGACGGCCCGAGAGGCCCCCAAGGGGGCCATAAGACGGCCCAAGAAGGCTCCCAATGAAGCCCTCGGGGATGCCCTCGCAAATCCAGGGGGGGTGCACAGGATAGCTACGCTGGGAGTTTCTGCGGAGCTGTGGACGCTTCCTGGGGTAGCCTCGGAGCCTCGTGGAGGGAGCGGGCCTCCCCTGAACAGTGTTGGAAGGCTCTTGTAGCCGAGGCGCAGATAGATAGATCCATGATCGCCGCCAGTCATGTCAACACGAAGGTTCGATGACGCCTGGGGAGCAGATAGATGGGCACAAGTTACACTGACACATCTGTGCGACAGCGCCTGGGGGGGCTGGTAGATAGATGAACGCACCATATCACCCAAGCAAAGCAGGGGATACATGGGCAAATTCGGGCGAAGATGAGGAATACCAGGAGGTTGAAGAGGGCGAAGACGGCGAGAGGGACCGATAGGAGGAGGAGAAGGAGGCTGCGGACAAGGAGGCGTGGGAAGAGGCAGGGAAGGCTACGAGGAGGAGGGCGCGCGGCAGGCTGAGTCGCAGGAGCAGTTGGTGCCGCCGCGAAGCGGAAAAACTTGACTCGAAGGACGGCTACAACCAAGTGAGTCAGAGGCCTGGACTACTTAATTAAGAGTTGCGGGGTATCTTGGGCAACGTCTGCGGTTCCCTTGGGGACAATTTTGAAGCCTCTTTGGGCCCTGCTCGGGCCTGTCTGGGCGCCTCCTGGGGCCTCTATGCGGGCTGTTTGGGGGCCTCCTGGGAGCCTCTGGGCTCTGGGGGGCCTCTTGGGGCACGCTGGCGGTCTGAATGGTTGTGCTAGGCAATCTGAAACCCACCCCTCTCGAGGCCTTCTTGTGATTCTTGTGGCCGTCTTGGGCGCCTCTTGGGCCGACTTGGAGCTCTCTGGGGCCGTCTTGGGGCTCTGGCCTCTGGGGATGTTTTGGGGCGGTTTGGGGGGGCCGCTTGGGCCGTCGAGGTTGGCCTCTTGGGACCCCCAAGGGGGCCTCATGGAGCCCTCTTTGGGCGACTTGGGGGGTCGCGGCTATTCTTGAGGCCATCTCAGCGCATCGTGGGGCGCTCGCGGGGCGTCTGGGGCGGTCTCGAGCCAGGCCGGGCGGCCTCTGAAACCGTCCGAGAATCCTGCAGGGCACCGCCCGGGAGCCCGTGGGCCGCCTGGGGCCCCCAATGCCACAATGCCACGCCGTGGCCAGGGTTCCCGCCCCCTCCCTGCTCCAGCATGTAAGACGAATAAGAAACCCAATCAGCGGCTGGCTTGAAAATTAATGATACTGATCTTGAGGTCGAGTGTGAGGTCGATAGTGGGATCGATAGTCGGATCGTTAGTGAGCACGATCGTGAGGTCAATCGTGAGACTGATAACGAAGTCGATGCAGCGAGATCGATAGGGAAATCGATCTGGAGATCGCTCGTGCAATCTATAGTGAGATCGTACATGGGATCGATAGTGAGGACGATGGTGAAGTCAATCGTGAGACTGGTAGCAAAGTGGATTCAGTGAGATCGAGAGTGAGATCGATCTGGAGACCGCTCGTGCGATCTATAACGAAATCGCTAGTGGGATCGATAGAGAGGTGGGTAAAAAGACCGATGGTGAGACCGATCGATAAGGAGACAGACGAAGAAACCAGGAGTCCGGAAACCCGGGAACCCCGCCGCATACCGAAATCGGCCCCGAAGCAACAAACTCGCACCCGGGAAGCCGGAACTGGGAATTCGGGAACCCGGGAACCCAGCCGCATACCAAAATCGGCCCCGCACTTTCGCCAAATCTTGTTGTTCGCCTTCAGTGCAAACTCTGATTGGGGAACATGAATGTATGTTTGCTTGTTGGTTCGTTTGTTTGTTTGTGTTTGCGTGTTTGTTTGTTTGGTTGGTTGTTGCTTGTTGACTTGATTATATGCATGTACGTATGTATGTATGGCTGTCTGTTTCTAGGCAGGTATGAACATATGTATGTGCATTTGTATATGTATATATGTATATGTATATGAGCATGTCTGTGCATATGTGTATATATATATATGTATACATATGTATTCGGTTGAGGTCACAGCCCCCTTGGAAACCTATTGGGGTCTCTTGTCATGCGTCTCGGGCGTCTCATGGAGCCAGAAGCATCTTGGGGTCTCTCGGGGGCTGTTTGGGGGCCTCTGGGGGCTCCGCTTGGGGCGGTGGGCTCGAAGTTTGACTTGGAGATCCTCCTATTGGGCCCTTCTTGGAGCCATCTTGGGCCGTCTTGGGCGCCTCTTAGACCGTCTTTGGGCTCTCTTGGGCCGTCTTGGGGCTCTCTTGGGGGCCTCTTGGGGCCGTCTTGGGGCGATCTTGGGGGCCCCTTTGGCCGTCTTGGACACTGGTACGACGGATGAAACGAATAATGCTGAAAACTTTTGTTTCCATAAAGAACGTGGCAATCTTGGCCATCCTGGTCGCTCCTGGGGAGCATCTTGGAGCCGTGGGAACATGTGGAATCCGTCTGGGGCCATCCACACGGAATTCTGAGGCCGTTCGTATGCCGAAAGTGTGTCTTGGACGACTCTTGAAGCCGAGACAATCTCCCAAGGCACCGGAAAGAGGCTCCAGACCCCCCCTAGGCCCGGGGACACGGACGCAGCTTCTACAATATGATCTAAGATTTGATTATATTATATATTATATTAAAAATACGGCCCTGGCCCGAAAACCAGAGACCCTCCTGAGCCCAGAGACGCATGTCAGCGTCTTGGCCGCAAGTCGAGGAAGAAAAATAGGAATACATATCAACTTGTGGAGGCCCGCGCGTATTTTTTGGGGATCTGTGCTAACCCCCCCTCCCTGGCGCGCGGAGCGCGCCAGGGGCGGCGCCGGAGACGCCGCCAGGGGGGCCAAGCGCAGATCCAGGGAATCCGCGCGGACGGTCGAAAGTTTGTGCTTCTACTTTTGGAAGTCGGAAAAGGGTTTGGTATAAAGGGGTGCGGTGCCAATGATGAAAATAGCGATGTTTTCTGCGATAGCCACAACCGGGATGCACCCCGATTTCAACAACGCTGGTTTCGCGTCAACAACTAGAGGCCTACTGGATGGGGTCCGAGTAGATGGGGTCGAAGGATCGCGCCGCATCGGTGATGCATCGGCGACGCTGGCGTGGGGAAACGCGGTCTCCACATCGAGCCGCATTGTTGATGCATCGGCGATGTGGCGCGATCCTCCGACCCCATCTACTTGGACCCCATCTAAGAGGCCTAGAACAACGGTTTCTCTTCTTCGAATAGCTCCCCCCGGGCCACGACAACTGGGCGGCGCGCACAGAGGGGTAGGGTGGGGAGGGGGGATGGCTTCTTAATTAGAGAGAGGCGCTGCTGCTTAGAAGACGCGGGCCTGCACCCCAGATGCGGTGCCCGCGCCTTCGAAGATTAGGTCGGGCATGACCCCCTATTACAAGCGGTGCTTGGGCGAAAAATTGAACATAGTAAACAGATCTTCGAAACAAATTGCAAACTGCGCAAAAAATCGTCCCGAGACTATTGTTTGACTGTTTTTGAATTTTCCTCCTGTAGAGGGACACGTTCGACTTCTTTCTAGGATAGCCTCTTTCTGAGAAGCCTCCCCTCCTCCCCATGCCCCCCCCTGCGCGTGCCGCCGATCAAAGTCAACGGCCGCCTTCTAAGAGCAGCCTCCTTCTGAGAAGCCTCCCCTCCTCCCCCTGCCTTAAGTCGGGCATGTCCCTCTACAGGGGGAATGTTCCAAAATGCTGCAAACATATTCTGGGGACGATCTTCTGATTACCTTGAACCATGTCTGAATCTTTGTTTTTGATATTTCTCACTTTCCGTCGAACATCTGCCTCTAGGGGGACCTGCCCGACTTGGCCCCCCGCCCCCCGCGCATGCCGCCGATCAGAACCGACGCCGTGGGCCCTCGCGTCCTGGCCCTGCGGCCTCGAGCACTTCAGCGCCACCACGGGGGCCGGGGCCTCCGGCGCGGGGCCGCCGCCCGCGCCCCCGCCCGCGAGCTCCTGCGCCTCCCAGACCTCGCGGGGCGAGGGGAGCGGCCGCGGAGAGGGAGGAGGAGGAGGAAGAGCAGGAGGAGGGGGAGGGGGAGGAGGAGGAGGAGGAGGAGGAGGAGGAGGAGGAGGAGGAGGAGGAGGAGGAGGAGGAGGAGGAGGAGGAGGAGGGGGAGGAGGAGGAGGAGGAGCAGGAGGAGGGGGGAGGGGGAGGAGGAGAAGGAGGAGGAGGAGGAGGAGGAGGAGGAGGAGGACGACGGCGGGGGGCGAAGACGCGGACCAGGACGACGCGACAGGGCGAAGACGCGGACCAGGACACGGGAGCGGCCGCGAAGAGGGCCGCGACGGCGGGGGCGAGGACACGGACCAGGATCAGGTCGGGCCTGTCCCCCTACAGGCGGGTTTTGGACGACGAATAAAAAATACAAAAAACGCCAAACATACACAGCATACAGCGTACAGAACGCCAAACATACAAAAAACGCTCAAACACAAAAAACGCCAACATACGAACATATACAGCAATACTCAAGACATCGTCCCAATGCCATGTGTTGATTATGTTTGAATATCCCTCCCGTCGAGGGGCAGGCCCGACTTAAGACCAGGATGGCGCGACGACGGCGAGCACGGCGGGGGCCACGGCGAGGAGACGGCGGCGATGAGGACGGCGGCGGCCAAGGCGGCGACGACGCCGGCGGCGACGACCACGACGACGATCGCGAAGTGGCTCGACGATCACGACGGCGACGAAGACCACGACGACGACCACGACGACGACGACGACGACGACGACGACGACCATGGCAACGGCGGCCGCGGCGGCGGCGGCGGAGACCTCGCCGAAGGCTCCCCGGCCAAGCAGCCGCAGGGGCTGGAACCTCGAGGCCGCGCGCCAGGAGGGCGGGGCGAGGCGAGGGGGGGAGGGACCCGACAGGGAAGGCGGCACTACGGCACGCAGCATGCTACTCCAGATTTCGTAATAAATGGAGGGGGGTTACATTTCGGGGGGGGTCTCTTCCAGGCTATCTTGGAGGGCCTGGGGGGTCTGGGGACGATGTTTTGGAGGGTTCTCCCACGGGAGAAGTCTGAAATGGCTTGTCTTGGAGGGTCCAGACCCCCTACCTTTTATTACGAAATCTGGAGTACCAGACTTCGTGGATGGTCGGCTACGGGCGCCAAGGCTGCGGGGCAAGCACACGGGGGCATGCGATTGCTTACTCACGGCGCAGTGGCAGGTGTGGCACCGGCTAGGAGGGGGCAAAAACAGTGAAGCCAACAGCCTGACCAAAAGTAGGTGCCTGTAGCTGGTAACTGGTCTGGGCAGAGGGAGGGAGGGAGGGAGGGAGAAGGAGGAAGTAGGGGGAAGAGGAGGAGCGAAGGCAGAGAGGGGGGGGGGGAGGAGCGCGAGGAGGAGGAGGAGGGGATCCGTAACCATTTTGGATCGAGGCTGACACCCGGTGTTGCGGGGGCTTCAGCTTTAGGTCTCCGCTGTGCGCGACAGGCATCACTGGGGGCACCCAGACGCCGTGCACCTTCGAGCACACAGCGATCCCCCAGAGCGGCCGCGGTTCAGCTCCCCGCTTCGGAGTGCACGCGACGGTGCGAGCGCGGGGCCAGGCGACTCGGCGTGCAGGGCCCTGGTGGCACAACAAATAGATTCGCCGCAGCACCACTAGACACAGCGAGTCAGAAACTGGTCGGCCAGTCAGGTCAAAGTCGTACGATCGAGTTTGCGAGGATGGCGATTGTTGCTCGGAGGACTGGGGAAGTCGAGGCAGCAGTCAAACATGAGACCAGAATCAGCATCGTGAAAGCAGCTCTGGCTGGGTCAGACACGAGATCACGCAAAGACAAAATCATGGACCGGCTGAGGCAAACTCGTGCTCGTGCCGCTTTGCTCGCAGACCAGGAAGACGAACTTTTTGAGAAGTTCGAATGTGTGCGCGATATCATCGCGGAGTTGCACGAGAAATGTGTCACGACGAGGACGATGCGATGGATGAAAAAAAAGTGGTCATCAAGGGTCGGAATTTCCCGTGCCGTACCCTCAGCAGCAGCAGGTTGCCCCACCAGCCGCTCATTCGGGGTACCCTTCTCAGCAGCAGCAGTACGGTCTACCCCAGCAACTCCAATCTCTCATCCCGCCTTCGCCTACGATGGCCGCTGTGCCAGGTTCAGGTATGACAAGGCTGGCAGAGGTGAGGTTTTTCATGGATGCGCTTGTTCATCAAGGCGAACAGGTCAAAGCGCTGATGGCAATGCTGTAGCAAACAACGACGTCAAGTTTTCAACTGGCGTTGATGCGAAATCTTCCATGTCCTCAAGCTGGTCCACATCCGCGAGCTGCCGCCGTTGCTCATTCATTTCCACCGCCACCGCCGCCAGTGCAATTTGTTCAGCAGGCTGGTCATGCTGGTGCGCATGCTGCACCACCTCCATCGCCAAACTCACTGCCGTATGGGCCACCCAGGAGCTGGACAGACCATTCATCATGCAGCAAGTGGTGCAGCGGAAAGCGAGTGTGGACAATCGAACCCTCCAATCCTAACAGAGCAGCTTACTCCGCCAACTCCCGTGCAGCGTGCGCAGCTGACCCCGATCACTGGCATGCGTAGCCCCATTTCCCCGAAAATCAAGGCGGTGCCAAACCAGGATGCGGAAATCGAAGAAATCGCGATATCAAAGGATGTTTCAATCAGGATTTGCGCAGGTGGTCGATCCCTGCCCAGGCGACTAACCTCCCACAAGGAGGAGGAGGAGGAGGAGGAGGAGGAGGAGGAGGAGGTGGAGGAGGGCGAGGTGGAGGAGGAGGAGGAGATTAAGGAGGAGGAGGTGGAGGAGGGAGAGGTAGAGGAGGAGGACGGAAGGAGGGGGGTGATGGGCCAGCTCCCTCAGAAGGTCAACCACCATCCCTTGGTGAATACGCCACCCAAATTGCGGTTAGGTCGGGCCTGTCCCCCTACAAAGAGATTTTGGAGGAAAAATGAAAAATACGCAAAACGATTCAAAAATACTGAAAAAAAAAAAAAACTCAAAAAGTAGCCCCCGGACCATGATTTGACTATTTTTGAATACTCCTCCTCCTGTAGAAGGACGCGCCCGACTTCAGATTACGGGGGTCCGGCCTGGCCACTTTTCCGAGCCGCGCCCAGAGGTGGCGACGAGGGCAGCCATAGGCCCTCGAAGACACCTCCGCATCGACGGCGCCGGCGTCGTCGACGCCGTCGTCGCCGGAATCGTCGCCGCCCGAGCCAGCCGCAGAGGCGAGGGGAGAGGAACGGGGGGGGACTGGCTCGGGAGAGGAACGCTACGGCGAGGCGTCGCCGAGAGAGGTCGGCGGCACGGCCCCATGGCGACGCCGCGCCGACCCTGGGCGGGGAAGGGGGCCCCCGCCACGATCGGCGAGGAATTCGCGGTTGGGGGATCGATGCGTCCGCACCCCCCAGCCTGCCCCCCCCCCGTCTGACTACCTACCAGACCACCCCAACCCAACCTAGAGGCCCGAATTTCGGGTTGGGGGGGGTAATGGTTCCATACGTGTTTTTTCAATGTTCCGCGAACCCCCCCCCCACTGGGAATGAATGAAGGGCAAATCTGAGCCTTCGGGTTGGGTTGGGGTGGTTTGGTGGGTGGTGACTGTTTCGGGGGCGCACACATGGATCACCGATCCATGGATCGGGGGAGGTGCCCTCCTCACAGTGCGGCCAATGCCGACTCGCTCGGCGGCGTAAATCCGCGATTCCCCATGGAAACGGGACCCGTCGCTGATCCACGCCCCCTTGATCCATGTTTGCGTTGAGTCGGGCGTGTCCTCCTGCAGGGGGATTTTCACTGAAAAATTTAAATACTCTAAACATATTCCCAAACAGTCTAAAAATACAAAAAAGTCCCCATACTGGTTCTGTGGGTACTGTGGGTACTAATAATCCTGACGCCACACCCTGCGCAGCTCAGAACACGACCTGCTGAAAGGAGAGCAAGTACTCCGCGACCCAGCCGCCGTTGAGCTTACAATTGCCGATTCCACCAACCAATACCACACCACCACGCCCATGCCTTATCGAGCTCCAGCCACAGAGTAGAAACGGTTCCCTACATCGAACTCCTGGAATATGTTCGAGGATCGCATACAGCAGCCACCATCCACAAAGCGGCAAAAACACGAAACGACAAACACTGAGGTAAAATAGATAGCGAAGGTGCGACCGACAACGTAGACCAACGTCAACCAGGTATCCATCCCAGAACACGCTTGAAGAATACCCTCCCCAGCGGCTTTGGGAGATAACACTATTGTAATGGATGGGGCCAGGACGCCACACAAACCAGTAAGCCCGCAGCCCCCGAAAAGTGAATACACCCCCCGTGCGGGCGTGGGGGAAAACCGAACTGTAGATGACGCGGCCGGCCGCCCGAGGACTCGAGGAACTCCCACACGAACGGGGTAAACAGGTCGATGAACCGAACTATGAACGACACGTGCCGACCTATCAACCTCGAGGAGACCTTGCAATACGTAGTGATGTGTACTCCAGCTTTAGTTGACGCCGACGCGGTGCCGCGAGCCACGGCACGACGAAATCCCTCAAGCACCGCGGGGAGGTACTGGAGCCGGCTCGAGCAAAAACGATTTGCCTGAGCCCAGATAGCTTGAGCCCATACTGGTCCTCACTATTTTTGAATCGTCCTCCTGTAGAGGGACGGGCCAGACTTAATGTTTGCGATCGCCTGAATGTCGTTGCCCGTTCTCCAGGCCGCGTCCGGTCGCGGCGCCGACCACCTCCAGAAAAGGCCGGAAACAGCTCTCACCGACGACGACGCCGCCGCCGACGACGACGCCGACGACGATAACGACGACGACGACGACGACGCCGAAAACGACGAGGACGACGAAAACGACATCGTCGCTGTCGTCTGCAAAGCAATCGCTGTAGCATGCAAGCAAGGGGTCGTGAGGAAAGCTGGCCCGGGGCGCCGCGGCCTTCTCCCGCCTGTACGGCGCTGTCTTTTAGCGGCCCCCTGTCCCCAGGGGGGGCCTCGGGAGCCCGCAAACGTAGAACGTGCCTCTCGCCATCGCTCGGACTTCCAATCCCCCGTGCACTTGTCAGCTTCGTGCGTGAGCGCTTTCGTAAGAGGATCCAAGAAGCTCCTCGATGGTCCTTGCCGAGACACAAACGCACACGTCCGAGCGATGCCAACTAAGGAGACGGAATACGTAAAACGAGCCTAAGGGCCCGTTTCCTTCCGACGAAGACGGCCCACGTCGCCCGCGCGTTTCCAGAGGCATCCACGAATCCTCTGGAGGCCCCTGGGGGCAAGGACGCACAGACACCTCGACCCTAAAAATCACCTCCGAACCGTCGCCGTCGCCGCCACCGCCGCCGCCGTCGCCGTTGTCGTCGTCGGCGGCGGCGTCGTCGGTCGTCCGACGTTGTCGTCGTCGGCGTCGTCGGCGTCGTCGGCGTCGTCGGCGTCGCCGCCGTCGTCGCCCGAGCCAGCCGCAGCGGGCCTGCGGCCGTCCAGCGTGACGGGCCCGGCGCCGTCGAGCTGGAGCGGCGGCGGCGGGGCGGGCGGCGGCGCCGCGGCCGCGCGCGGGGCGGAGGCCGCCTCGGACGGCGTGCGGCGGAGCGGCGGCGGCGTCGGGCGCCGACGTCGGGTGGCGACGGCGTCGCCGTCGACTCGAAGACGCGAAGACGAGAACGCCTGAGTTTGGCTACATAGAGGAAAAGGAAGAGAAGAAGGAGAATAAGAAGAAGAGGAAGAAGAAGAAGAAGAAGGCGTCGGGTGGACGACGGCGGCGACGGACCGACGACGGCGGCGTCGGTCGACGACGCCGACCTCTGGATCGACGACGACGGCGTCTGGGTCTGGGCCGAGAAGAAAAATAAGCAATACAAACATACGCTTTCGGAGGTCCGCGCGGATTTCTCGGACCGGCGCTGCAGACCCATCCGCGGCGAGCCTCCGGCGCTGGGGAGGCGGCGCAAGAGGCGCCGCCTGGGGGATGCAGCACAGCTCCAAGAAGTCCGCGCGGACCTACGAGAAAACTTACAGTCCTACGCGCGATAAGGATGTAAAGGCCTTGGAAGGCCATATTTTGAGCAGGGACAGACCGTCCAGGCATTCCTATAGGCCTACAACGAAATTTTCTTAGAACCCACAGATTTTCTAATAACAAGAACAATGTTCTTAGACCATAAGCCCGATGTGTTAGAACAGGACAATATCGGCCAGGAATTGTCGAAACACATTTCGTAGAAACCATAAAATGTTATTAGAACATTGTTTGGGACGCCAAAACGCTTCGCCACTGCTTGAATATTGTCACCTTGCGAGCCGGGCGCGGACAGCGAAAGCGGCCAAGGATGGGGCCGAAGGGGAAGGATGCAAGGGTAACCTTGGAAAGTGGCTCATTTCCCAATCAGCACTTGCACTGAAGGGGTCCTAGCAAGTATTGAAACATTTGGCGAAAGTCCCGGACAAATTTAGGTAGCCGGCTGGGTTCCCGGGTTCCCAGTTCCGGGCACCCAGGTTCCCAGTTGCTGGTTCTGGGCCGACTTCGGGATCCCACGATCGAGCTCACCATCGATCTCATGATCGGTCTCACTATCCATCTCACTCAATCGATCTCACCATCGATATCACCACCGATCGTACTGTCGATGTCACTACCGATATCCCGCCAAAGTTTTCCGACCATCCACCGGTTGGGGTTTGATCTCTGGTGTAACGCTTCCTATGCGGATGCACTGCATGCTTCTGCAGCTTGTGCTCCTCCAGGGCGGCAGGTCCCCGCCCCTGCCCCGCACCGCTTGGGGGGGGGGGGCACCCTCGGCGCCAGGGCCACTCCCAGCAGCCCCCGAAGAAGGCGGGCGGCCCTGGCGGCCCTCGCCGCCGCGGCCGCGCGCCGCGGCTCGGAGAGCGATGGGACAATTTTCTTCCACAACTACCATCGGTAGGACGGGGAAGATGGAGGATGGGAAGGTCCTCTCCTCCTCCTCCTCCTCCTCCTCCTCCTCCTCCTCCTACCCTCCCTCCTCCTCCTCCTCTCCTCCTCCTCCTCCTCCTAGCTCTCCTCCTCTAGCTCCCTCCTCCTCCTGCTCCTCCTGCTCCTCCTCCTCCTCCTCCTCAATCTCCTCAATCTTCTCCTCCTCCTCCTCCTCCTCCTCCTCCTCCTCCTCTTCCTCCCTCCCCCCCTTCCCCTTCCCCTCCTTCCTCCTCCTCCTCCTCCTCCTTCTCCTTCTCCTCCTCCTCCTTCTCCTCCTCCTCCTCCTCCTCATCCTCCTCCTCCCCTCTGCTACCTATGACAGAGGTGGTGGAACATCGGCCCCTCAGAGAGGGGGCCAGGGTGGGCCCGGGAGAACGGCGGCGGCGACGGCGGCGACTGCGACGACGGCTGGCGGAGAGGAGGAAGGGCCTCTCGGGTGTTCTCGGACGTCTGCAAAACAAAAACGAACAGGGAGCATCCCCCAATCACACAACAAACCGCAGAAAGCATCTGACGAAAAGCCCAGCACAATCCACATGCCAGCGGCAGGAGGCATCCCAGCCGGCCCTCTGGGCGGCTGCGGAGTGGCTTGGAGAATAATTCTCAGAGCGCTCCCCCGCGGATGCGGCGGCGACGACGAGGACGGCGGCCACGACGAGGGCGGCGAGGCCTCGGGAGCAACGTCAGGGGGAGGGGGGCCAGCTTGTGATGGGCCTGTTTTCCACCAACACCACCATAAGTTGGAGGGGGGAAGAAGGTGGAGGATGAGGATGAGGAGAAAGAAGAAGAGGAGGAGTAGGACCCCCTCCCCCTCCTACTTATGGTGGTGGTGGTGGAAAGCAAGCCCACCAGCTTGGGAGGCTGGCCTCGAGCTGGGGTCGGCGGTGCATAGCGGACAGGTGGGCGACGGGCCCCCGATGGCAGATCCGTGCAGTCCTGGGCGGACCTCTATCGGCCAAGCATGGGCGACTGGGGGTCGATGCGCCGTCCCCAGAGCCTGTTCTTGGGTGGGGCATGTCCTCCTACTCGGCGGTGAGCACAAGGGGGTGGAGGGAGGGGGGAGGGCTTCTTAGAAGGGGGCTGCTTCTTAGAAGGCGCTTGCCTTACATCTACAGATGAGGCCCGCGCCTTCCAAGAAGCAGGGGTGCTTCTAAGAAGCCCTCCCCCAACCCCCTCTGCGCGTGGCTGACCTGCAGGCGGATTTTGGAATAAGGAAAAAACACATCATCAAAGATAGCCGGAAGAGCACGGAACACCGCCACCCGACTGTGTCTTACTCCTCTCAACAATGAAGGGGCCCCAGGACACACAAACAAATACACACAAATAAAAATACTCCCCATATTTTTCAATATTTTCTGGGTTTCTGTCTTCCCCCCCACTTCCAATATTTCCTCATTTTCTCTGGGAGTCGACGATTAATTGTGCCTGTGTGTTTTTTCCCTTCCTTGAAAGATTCCTCCTGCAGAGGGGCATGCCCGACTTCGGCCTCCCCCCCCCCGCTGATCCCCGCCCTCCGCTCTGGGGCCACGCCTCGGGCCTCCGGCGGCCGCAACGGGCAAACCCGCAGGCCCCCCCCCCTCCGAAAGCTCTCGGCCGGGCGCCGCCGCCAGAAGGCGCCCCCCGAGGCCGGAGAATCGCCCAGGACCGGCCAGACGGCAGATGATGGACGAAGAACAAGAAGTGCCGCAAAAGTGCCCCAAAATAGCCAAACATAGTCAAACAAGCGTACCCGGACTATGCTTTGACAATTTTTGGAGATTCCCCCTGTAGAGGGACAGGCCCGACTTGAGGCTAGACGTCCAGAAACCTCAAACCCTGACTCCAACCCGAGAATTCCTCGCCCCCCCCGCCTGAGCCTACCCTCCCCCCCAACTCTGGAGGTCGGAGAGGGATATGGCATAAAGGGGTGTGGTGCCCATCGTGGAAATGGAGACGCTGTCTGCGATAGATGGCATCGCCAGACTCAACATTGGCACCATACCCCTTTATGCCACACCCCTTTCCTGCCCCCCCCCTAACGTTGAGCCCGAAGGACTGTGCCGGCGGCGGCGACGACGGCGGCCGCGGCGGCGGCGGCGGCGGTGCCTGCGCTGTGGGCGGCGCCATGGCTGCTTGTGGCGCGGGCACCGCCAGCAACGTCGGCGCCGCCGGGGGGGGGCCCAAGCAAGGCACAACGATCCATGTACGAGGCGGGGATCTATCCATATCCAACACCTGTGGAACCCACGTCCTGGGACCCCAACGGGCGGTGGAGATGGATACATTTTAACCATCATAGGTGCGAGTATATTCAGATCCACCGCCTGGTCCTTGAAGATCGATACCCCAGGCGGTGGTCACAGATCTCGGACCATGATCCTTCCTCTGGGGATATTAGGTCGACGATCGATTCTGTTACGTAAAAATCCTGGTGGCCTCGCGCGGCAACTTGGATCCACGTCGGATTTACGGGATTAAACTCGGATTCACGTCGGATTTACGTCAGACTTGCGTCGGAACATCGCCGCGCGAACGTCGCGCGCCGCGCGAAGCTTCCAGGGTATTCCGAAGATATGTCCTAGTTTGAACGCCCTGGGCAATCAGACACCTTCGACGCGACTCTGGAGACATCCGGTGGCCTCTCGAGGCCCCCCACGTCCAGACACCCCTGGGCCGCGACCTCCTCCGCTGGGCACCACGATGGGCCTCAGCAAGCGACCAGGGACGAGGCGCCAGCCTCCTCGTGGGACGGGCCGAGAGCCCATGAGGCCCACGTCCACGAAAACGGTGTGACGTCGGAGGGGGATACGGCGAAACCCCAGACCATGCTATAGCTGCTTGGCCCGTGGCCCGGGCAGGGTGCCACTCGAACAACACCCGTCAACAAAATGGCAACAGACCTTGGAAACGGCGGGCCGGCCCAGGCCCTGGCCGTGGTATACACACGCGCCTGGTCCCCCCCCCCCGCCCCGTGGACGCACGGGTCCCCGAAGCCTCGCAAAACCAAACATATTGATACCGCTCTTCCCCAGACCTCCCTCCTGGGGCGCGTCCTGATCATACATTCGAAGCGAATCCAGCGGTGGCGACGAGGACCTCCCAGGAGGCCCACAAAGAGGAGCACGAGGCAATGTTAGCAATATCGGTGCCCCTTGCCCCTCTGAGAACCAGCCTCTAGAGGCCGGCCTTGAGGAAGAACCGCTGGCGTCACTGAGGAGGAGGTCTGGGCACCCGCGCCCCGCGACCCCCCCTTGCCCGCGCGGCCTGCGGCGGGCGGGGGGGCAGGAGGAATCATGAGGCCTAGGCAGAGGCACGGGCAGATGAGGAGGGGGAGGCCGAGGAGGAGACGGCAGAGGAGAATGGAGGATGTAGGAGGAGCAGGATGAGGAGGCAGAGGAGGATGAGGAGGAGGACGAGGAGGCTGAGGAGGAAGGCGGAGGCCGGATGAGACAGCAAAGGAGGAGGAGGAGGAGGAGGAGGAGTATGAGGGAGGGGGAGGATGAGGGAGGGGGGGGGGAGGAGGAGGAGGAGGAGGAGGAGGAGGAGGAGGAGGAGGAGGAGGGGGAGGAGGAGGAGGAGGAGGAGGAGGAGGAGGAGGAGGAGGAGGAGGAAGAGGAGGAGGAGGAGGAGGAGGAGGAGGAGGAGGAGGAGGGGGAGGGGGAGGAGGAAAAGGAAGAGTTTTGTTGTTTGAACCTTTTCCGTGACCGTGAGCGGAGGCGACGAGGGAACGAGGGAGGAGAGGAAGACGAGGCCGAGGGGGAAGCAACGACGACACCAAAGCGCAGAAACCCCTTTGCGAGAGGCCATGAAACGAGAGGGGAGGCGACAGAACGACGAGACAAGACGACAAAGGGCAAAACGGCAAGAGAAGAGCGGGCCCAGGACTGCACTTCGGAGTGGCCCCGGCCCCGAGCTCTCGCTGAAGCCGAAGGCGTTGTCGAATGGGTTCGCGTCGATGGCCACGCGCAGGCAGTTGCGGAGGCGGCCGTAGCCAACACCCAGCATGTGGAATCGATCCTGAGTTGCACATGAGCTGGCCGCTCCAGCAATGTTGACGTACATCATCCGCTGACCATCATTGACTATCACCTGGCAGCCCGAGGGGTACATATCCAAGAAGCAGCACACGATCACTTGACAACACATGATCCCCTATCGCCTTGCATTGCCCGAACGTCTGGCAGCACACGATCACAACCGTGCAACCCACGGCCACCAGTTGGCCGTACACGGTCACCATCTGGTAAAACACACCACCCTTGCAGCACCCGGTCACCATCATAGGATATCATACAATACCCGAAGACCAGGTTGCAGAACACGAGCACCATCAGGCAGAAGATGCCGTCCATAGCACACAATCATCATCTTGCGTCATCCCATCACCAACTAGTATCTCCTGGTCACAATCTTGCAGTGCCCGAGCGTCAGGCCGTACACGATTACAAGGCTGTCCCACACGAGCACCAGCTTGCGGCACGCGAGCACAGAGCACAACCCTGCAAAACAATATCATCAGCGAGCCGGAGACACGTACACCGTCAAGCCGCAGCACACTCTCACCATCGTGCAGTACAACATCATGTAATACCCGATCTCATCGTAACACATTAACGCCATCAAACAACACACGATCGTCTGGAAATACTCGGCCAACATCTTGCAACACACGATCACCAGATTGCAATACCACATCTTGCAATGCCCGGCCATCATCTTGCTGTGCCCGATCAAAATCCTGCAGCACGGGATCTTCAACTGGAGGTATCCGTACACCATCGCGCTGTACACAATCACAAACTTGTACCTTTTTCTTGCCTTGGCCATGCTCGCACTCTGTATGATTCAACCCGCTGCTAAAGGGGGAAAGCAAACAGGTCGTAGGATGTCGCCATGCGTACGACCATGGGACAAGAGGAGAGGAAGGTGTGAAGAAAACAACCTTTGGTGTCCTCGGCTCGCCAGCCGAACGAGAGGTAAATGCAGCTGTTGGCGTCCCCAGCTCGCCAATCAGCAGCTTGTACCTGAGCGCCGCCCTGCACCATCCGAGTCACCAGCATGAGCTTCAGAGATCTGCGGTACCGCAGGAAGAACACCAGGATGTCTCGGCGCCTTCGCCCCGTTGCGGCCCATAGACCATGGGCCGACGCCGCCGCGACACGGATCTGCGTTGTCATCATCATTATCATCAACGACAACACCAACATTATCATCATCACAATCATCACAATAATCAGCATCATCATCATCAGCATCATCATCATCATCATCATCATCATCATCATCATCATCATCGTCGTCGTCGTCGTCGTCGTCATCATCATCATCATCAACATCCTGCGTCGACGAGGAGGGAGGAGAAGGAGGTAGAGCAGAAGGATGAGGAGGGAGGAGGTGGCAGAGAAGGAGGAGGATGCATTGGAGGAGGAGAAGATTGAGAAGGAGGAGGGGGAGGAGGAGCAGTAGTAGTAGTAGTAGTAGTAGGAGGAGGAGGAGGAGGAGGAGGACGCGCCCTGCTTTTGGCCCCCCAGCTGCGTTGGCGCGAACCGACTGGCGCGTCGCCACGATGGCAGGAACCAACTTGGCGCCGCCACCAAGCGAGACCCTGTGGTACACGGGCACCTGTGGCCCGGCCGCCACCATCGCCGCCCCGGCTTGCCGAGGGCAACGCGGGGGGGGCGCCAACCCTTGACGATCCACAGTGCCAACAAACAAAAACTCCAGAACTTTAGACTTCGCAGCAGCACAAGGACAACGGCAGACTTAGCAGCAGTAGCAAGACTTGTGGAGAGCCGCGAGGATATCTCAGAACGGCCCTGGACACGATGGAGGAGCCTTCGGCGCCGCTCCCGGCGCGATCCGTCCGCCAGGGGAGGAGGTGCAGCGCTGTTCCAAGAAACCCGCGCGGACCTCCAAGCATGCATCTTCTTCAGGCCAGGACCGCTTGCAACCTCGGCTGGACTGTAGGAGGACGCGAGACGAGAAGGACATCATGAACACACGTTGGCTCAGGACGCGCTCCAGGATTTCCACAATTCATCGCTTCTGGACCCCGTGCAGACTAGCAGGAAATCTTGGAAATCCTGTTCGACACATGGGAACGCCTCATACCATCATGACTTGTCGCTCCTCCGACTTGGATGCAAAGGCCTTAGTGCTTTTTGCTTCCCTCCTGGGAGGCCAAAGATAAGGTCGGGCATGTCCCCCTACAGGCGGCTAATTTGGGTAAGAAAAAACTTGTTTGATCCGCGGGTCGAGAGCGAGCCTCTTCCGGTCGAAGCTAAGCGAGCCGCACACAGCTTTAATTGACAGAGAGAGGAAGGCAGAAGGAGGGGCCTCACGTCAAGGCCACGAGAGGGCAAAGCACCCGAATCAGGCGGTGCCGAAGGCGAAGTGCATGCAAAGGAACGCCTTGTAAAGGAACCCGGAGGCGAAGTACCGGAAGGCGGGTAAAACAGAACACAAGAAACCAAACTCAGGAAACACAGCAAAATGGGAACAAAAAATACACGACAATCGTCCGCAGACTCATTGTGGACCCTTCTGGGATATTCCTCCTGTAGAGGGACCTGCCCGACCCACGGCAAAGACGGTCCTCCGGCGGGCAGGCTCGCTCCGGGCTGCGCACGGGCCGCGCGCACGGGGCAGCCCCGAGGGGGGCCTCGGCGGGCCCGCCGAGCCGTCCGGGGGCGGCCTCGGCCCCTCCCGAGGCGCGGAGCGCCCCAGGGGGCGGAGGCCTCCTCCTCCTCCTCCTCCTCCTCCTCCTCCTCCTCCTCCTCCTCCTCCTCCTCCTCCTCCTCCCCTCCCTCGGCCCCTCCCTCGGCCTCCCTCCTCCCGGGGGTGCGGAGATCGCCCAGGGCTGCATGAGGGGCCCACGACTGCTCAGGCCAGCCAGGGTTCGGTCGGGCCAGTCCCCCTGCAATGCAGGGGGGTTCTGGACAACAGATCAAAGATACCCCACAAGTATCTCAAACCAAAAAACTCGAACATGATCTAAACATCGCCCCCATACTATGTTTGTATTATTTTTGAATCTTCCCCCTGTAGAGGGACAGGCCCGACTTAAGCTGGGGCCACCTGGGAAGACTGCCTGCGCGCAGCCCGAAGCCTTGTCAACCCAGACCCTCAGATCAGATCCGGGCGCCAAAGTGAAAGATCGTGGCGGCGGGCTCCTCTGCTTTTCTGTATTAGAAGAACAGTGCGCGCTACCCTGGGAGACGAAGGAGAAAAACTGAGGCGGATGGTAGCGCGAGGCGACACGCATGACGATCAAGCCAACTGCGGGCTCCATGTTTGTTCGGGCCCTGGGGTCCGTGCCCTGGGCACC